CAAATCAAGAACCACCCTCAGGCCGCGGCTACCCACTTCCACATTCAATTTTCACAAGAATTTCCATCTCTCTATCGCATTCTGCTCTTCTACTTCTCAATCCCCAGAAGCTAATGTCGAAACTGCGGAGTCCTGTGTCAATCTGGGCCTCCAGCTCTTCTCCAAAGGACGGGTGTGCGTTCTTTTTACCTTTTTATTTAATTCGATTCTTTTTGAGTTTGGTTGTTGTGTGTGTTCTTGCTTTCTGCGTTGTGGGTATTGTTTAATGGGGTTCTACTTGTTCGGTAATTGGTGCATTTTGGTTTAATTTTCTGGGCTTGTTGTTGATTGGACTCTTTTGGTACAGTATTGAGTTTTCTGAGAGAATTTTGTGATTTTGGGTGAGAGGATTTTGTATTTTGAGCTTGTTATCACTGGGATTTTGGGTGGACTTTGGCATGTTATTACATGGGTAGTGGTTACTTTCTCAGACCCAGTAAGAACTGAGTAGAGTTTCTCCGACAATCAAGAACAGCCAAAAAAAGAAAAAAATGTCAGCACCAATTTGACAGGAAGTTAAACTTTATCAGTTGTCAACCACCAAAATCTTCAAAACAATATTGTTGCACCACGAGCACGTGGCACCTAGGTGCGGAGCAAGGTGCCATTGCCACTCTGCCCCTTTCGTTGGATTAGATGTACACCCACGCCCCTCCCCTCCATTGGGCGGGGGAGAGGGAGCGGGAGCTCAAGTCAAACTTGAGGTGAGCTTCCTTGATCGATGCTTTCACATTGCTGTTTTGTTGCTTGGTTTTCGAAGAAGTAGAGAATACTCCCATTGTCCCGAGTACCAATTGATCAATCAAAGTCTAAGAAATTGAGGAAAGAAACACATCAATTTCAGTTTGTTACGAGCAACGATACCAGTGGAAATGGTTCTGTAGATCACATGAGGATATATTAGGATTTAAATGTGTGAAGGAGAACTTACAAATGTCAGGGGAAAGATTGATGAACTTACAAATGGAGATAGGAGAAGAGTCTAATGCTTTTCTAGTTTCTTTGTTTTTGGCAGACACATTGTTGAAGCATCTGGTAGGAATAGTTTTATAGCACCTAAATCTCATATCCCAGACAAATTGTAGCATTCCAATCTGATGAGATGCATCACGGCATCTTTCAAGTCTCTTGATTCCCGTAGATCATTAGTACTAAAGCTTTTGTTGCCTTCGTATCTATATGTGAGTATTCCTATTATCTTTGTTTAATCCTGAGATACATGGTTGAGGGGATCAATGATTACGGTCATGTTGTTTTTTGGTGAAACAGTATCTTCTTTCTTCGTTGGCTTCTGATATTTATTTTCCAGTTCTCTTCCTCAATTATTTTGAAAAAAAATGTGTGCAATATATACACTTGATAAACCAATGAATTTTTCAGGTCAAAGAAGCTTTAGTCCAGTTTGATGCAGCACTTAATTTGGATCCTAACCCATTGGAGGCCCAAGCCGCATTCTACAATAAAGCATGCTGTCATGCCTATCGGTATGCTTAAAGGTCTCTATTATTTACTTATTAACACCGATTCTATTCTTTATCTTACCTATATTTGAAGAGTCTAATATGATTGACTCTGTTTAAGAATAGTTACCTTCAAAGCCCCCTTTAAGTTTCTTTTAGACTCTACAAAGGTTTGATTTAGGGAAAAGCTAGAATTTTGATACAGCAAAGATGATGAATTGTGACTTTGTGGATATTTTTGAGACAGTGGGGAAGGAAAGAAAGCTGCTGATTGTCTGCGTGTTGCATTAAGAGAATATAACCTCAAATTTGGCACAATTCTAAATGATCCTGACTTGGCCTCATTCAGAGCTCTTCCTGAATTCAAGGAATTGCAAGAAGAGGTTTGTCGTCGTCAACTTATGTTCTTTTTTCTCCATAACTTCGAATTTCATATTACTTTAATGCAATTAGATGGCTGTGTTTATAAGGGTCATTGTAAATAGCAAGGCTTAGAGGGAATGAGTTCAAACCATGATAACCACCTACCTAGGATTTAATATCTTACGAGTTAGCTTGTCAACCAAATGTAGTAGGGTCAGGCAGTTRGCCCRTGAWTAGTCGAGGTGCGCGYAAGCTGGYCCRRACAYATGGATATAAAAAAAAAAAAAAAAATATATATATATATATATATATATATAGATGACTGTGTTTAATCAATGGAGTCACAGTTACTCATTCAGTTATATTTCTGAATAATTTTATGGACATCCAGGCTAGGCTGGGTGGAGAGGATATAGGATATGGCTTTCGAAGAGATCTTAAACTCATTAGTGAAGTCCAAGCACCTTTTCGCGGGGTTAGGAAGTTCTTTTATGTAGCACTATCAGCAGCAGCCGGAATTTCTTTGTTGTTTACTATACCCCGGCTATTTCGTGCTATTCAAGGTGGTGATGAAGCTCCTGATGTTTGGGAGACTGCCGGAAATTTAGCTGTTAATATGGGAGGTACATCTTAATTCTTTTATAAGCTTCCATAACTCAGTAAAGGAATATAAACAAAAAGTTCACATGTTCACTATGGTGAGCTAGCTGAAATACTAATTTTTTCCAATCAGCATTTAACAGGTATTATTGTTCTTGTGGCATTATTCTTATGGGACAACAAGAAAGAAGAGGAACAGCTTGCACAAATATCAAGAAATGAAACACTATCAAGGTTGCCTCTACGACTTTCCACCAATCGGATTGTTGAACTTGTACAGCTTCGAGATACCGTAAGACCGGTGAGTATGATCATCTTACCTGTTTACAACTCCATAAATCAATGCTAAGTCCAACTTCCACATTTTAGGATTTATCATTCTCTTTCGGATTCTGATTACTTCACTTGATTTGCCCGTTCTGTTCGTGTTCCTGACCTGTCTCTTTTCTTCTCAAGTTGGCTTTATTCATCCAACCCTCTTTGTGTTTGCTCCCCCTCCATTGAATTTCATGTTTCCAATAGCATACCAAAATATAATGGTCTCTTTCTAGGAAGAATCGATATTGACCCTAGTTATGTACATTTTGACATTCTTTAAATCAATTTACCTTCAATTTAAGGTCATCTTAGCTGGTAAAAAGGAGACAGTTTCTTCAGCCATCCAGAAAGCAGAAAGGTTCAGAACTGAGCTCCTTAGACGAGGTGTTCTCTTAGTTCCCGTCGTATGGGGCGAAGGTAGGGAGCCCCAAATAGAAAAGAGAGGGTTTGGGGCTCCAACCAATGCAACTGCTGTTCTGCCATCTATTGGGGTAAGATCAATAGACTTCCATCCTGTCCTACATTTGTCCAAGGATATGGATATCTTTTGAATCATGCTGTAGTTTATTCATGTTCCAAGTAGCTAATTCAAAAGTTAATCGGTATGTTCTCTTGTTCCCACAACACTCGTTTAGGAAGACTTTGAGAAACGAGCTCAGTCTATAACTGCAAAATCGAAGTTGAAGGCTGAAATTCGATTCAGGGCCGAGGTTGTATCACCTGCAGAATGGGAAAGGTAGTGCGTCTCTTCTTGGTATGCTTGCTTCCTATCATCCAATCTATCATAAACCGACCACGAGCTGTTATATCTTGGAAAATAAATTTTTTCTCTTCCGGAGTGGTATTATCTCGATATTATGAGAACAGTCGTCTGGTTGAATCAATATGAGGTGGATATATGATATTGTGTTTTCCATTCTGTTAGAATTTTAGTACTCTGGATAATAGCTTAGTTTTTTCTTCTTTTTTCTTCCTTTTTTTTTTTTTTTTTTTAACTAGTTGGATAAGGGACCAGCAGAAGTCTGAAGGGGTTACCCCTGGTGAGGATGTCTACATAATATTGCGACTGGATGGTCGAGTTCGTAGATCAGGGAGGGTAAGTTCATATCATGAAAGTTACCATATTGAGTCTAATGGAAACACAGATTATTATGCGCGTTGTCTCGTCTTGGAGATATAAACCATGTTATCGGTCAACTATTCAGTCTAGAATATATCATCTTCTCCATCACCATCGACTCGAATCAGTTCTCGTACAAGTTCCTTTAAAGTAAAAAAACTCTTGAGGATTTGCAGATTTCTCTTGCTCATTTTTTGTGATAAATCTGCAGGGAATGCCTGACTGGCCAAAAATTATTGAAGAGCTGCCACCAATGGAAGCTCTTCTAAGCAAGCTAGAAAGATGAGGAAAATGGACACGGTGTTCATACACCTACAGAAATGATCAATGGCATCACTTTTGCTACTCGTTCGACTTCCACACCGACACCCAGAAGATTAAAACTTTAGAATAAAACATTCTTTTTGTGTGCATCTAAATGACAACATGGTTTTAGCTAGGTGTTTCTGTTATCATACTGTGATCCAAACCTGAGACCACTCTGTTTTCATTTCTTCAATGTGCAAGAGAAGATGGTCTTTTTGGGAAATTCAAGTGATTTCTTTTAGATTAGAATTCATCATCTTTTGTCTTGTATAGTCTCTGGTTCTTTACCTATAAACTTGATTGGGGTGTTTGACTATAAAATTATTTTCTTGAAGGATTCAAAATTTCAAAGGGAGTATTGGTATTAGATGGGTCATTGGGGCAATAGATTCTGAGTTTAAATATATCACTTGGTGGACCCTCTCTTGGATTTTGCCAAGTTTGTTGTCTTGATTTTGAACAACCACATTATTTTCCAAACAAACTTCTAGAAAACCTGAAAATTGAGAGTTTGAAACTTGAATTGAAGTTCAAGTTTTTGTGACATTACCAATAATGCCCTCAACTTTTTTTAAAAGAAAAAAAAGTGTCCTCCATTCTCTAGAAGTCGGATATTCAGAGAGTTTTTCGAATGGAAATTTTGGCTGTTTTGTTGTTCTTCTCGTCTTGTTGGTAGGTTTCTTTGTTCTTGTGCATTGATGTAAGATTCTTCTTCTTGCAATCTTCTTGCAATAATGTTTGTGTAAAAAAAAGGTTTTGAGTGTAAAATAAAAGAAATAAGAAACTTTAATTGCAAAGTTATAAAAATGACTAACGAAATCTGTTAAATTCAATAAAGAAAATGCGACCTCTTGTGGATAATCTGATGTCTATATTCTACCAAAAGGGCTTTAAATTTAATATTTGGAACACAATCTTATCGACTAGAAAACCAACTAATCTACCAATAAGTCATTTGTTCTTTAGAGTAATAGTTTAGTTTCTGAATTTTAGTCTATAATGATTTAGTTTCCGTACTATATAGTTTCTGAACTTTAGTATATGTATCAATTTAATCTCCGTAGTTTAAAATTTGCAACAATTCCTCTATTATGAAAAACTTCATCAAAATTAAGTGTCGACTTTTATTATATAACGATTTAGTCTTTGTACTTTTCAAAAATAAAATAAAATAAAGACGATTTAGTCTTTGTAATTTATAAACACATTTAGTTTTCATTAGTTTATGAATATAAACATATAAGAAAACCTATTAAATCTTAACAATATTTTTTACGATAAAGGCTAAATCGTTACATATTAAAGTTACTAAATTGTTACTGATTTGAAATTACAAAGATTAAACTGTTACTTTAATAATATATCTTCGAGGAATAAAAGTATATTTTTAACCTTCTTATTTATATCACTTTCTATTGGTAGGTTGTGAAAAGGGTGTTTTGGCACATATTAAAAAATTTCACCTTTCTTCACAGCAATTGGAATGCCTTTTGAATTTGTAAGACTTCCCCCACTTCAACCACAGAGGAAATGAGCACAAAAAAGACCAAAAAGAACTCAACTTTGTGGTGTTTATGTAAATAAAACCAAAACCAATGCCATTTTTTAAACCAAAAATCCACTTTAAATGTGAGAAGAAGCTCTTTCCCTTGGCAGGCTTTAGAATTCAAGTTCAAGAAAAATGAAGAAGCCTAGCATGGGCAACTCAGCCTTCTTTATGCTCATTTTCACCATAGCCTTCTTCATCTCTTCCTCCTTTCTCGCCGTCGCAGCCTTGAGCGGTGACCGTACTCTCAGCTGGCTCTCGACGGAATCTCGATGCCACGGGCGTTCGATAAACGAGTGCATCATGAATAATATTGAGTTTGAATTGGATTCTGAGATCAATCGTCGTATCTTAGCTAGTTCGAGCTATATAAGTTACAAGTCATTGAAGGCAAACAACATTCCATGCTCTCGTAGAGGCTCTTCGTACTACAATTGCCAGCCAGGGGCCGAAGCTAACCCATATCAGCGGGGTTGCACCGTCATTACTCGTTGCAGAAACTAACCAAAACTCACTTTTCTTGTCTTGTTTGCTTTTGCCTTCCTTCTTGTTATTGTCTTTGTAACATAGAATAAATTTGAGAAAGGCAGTCGCCATATTTGGGTTTATTATGGAGTGTTTATATATTATTGTAAGATTTCCTCTATGAAAACTTTTCATAGGTTAATCTGATTCTCTGGATTTTATTTATAAAATAAAAAGCTCATAACAAATATTTAGATAAACAAATAAACATTTTACAATTTTTAAATAATTTATGTTAATATGCCTATATTACTAATAACTTTGTTTTTATATTTAGTAGATTTTTTTGCAATACTATGGATATGACGAACCTATGGACATAAAAATGTCGACCAAAATTTAATACATAGCTATAGGGGTGCCTAAAATTAATTTTTTTCAATTAAAGAAAAATTAAAGCATGTAAATTTAAACAACAAATCCCAACAAAAATTATTCAAATAATTAACGCTTTCTTTTATAAACTTTTTTGTTTTTAGTTTTCTATCTAAGTTAAAAAAACAAAAAACAATGGTAATCAGATAGGGTCTAAAAGATGAACTTTAAGAAAATAGATATTAACAAATAAATATATCTTTTTACAATGTAACAAGCTATTCGTTCTATCCCACACATTAATCAATACAAGATCCTAATTTTTGCCCATGAAAAAAAAAAGAGAGAGAGAGAGATGAACAAACATTTTGCCATCTTTTATACCATTACTTTTTTTTTTTTCTGTAAAAATTGTACATACAACATTACATTCCTATATGTAAGCAGAAAATAGAAACCATCATTTTAACTTATAATAAAGTAAACTCAAAAGTACTTTTAGGAATAGCCACTGCTTATAAAAGAGATAAAATTAGTAACGAAGTGGACGACGGCGAAGATTGTACCTTCTTGTGGTAAAAGCAGTTGTGATTGAGTTCTCTCCCACTTCCTCTGGAAGCACAAAATCAGGATCTTCAACATTATCTTCAGATAATTCAGTGTCAATCCACGATGACCAGTTCACCTCACTATCACTCTCCCAACACAACTTATTTGGTGTCTCCATTCCATTGATCTTTTCCATTAACATTAGCAGCATGTGATGGTTCAAAACGTCGTAGTCTCTGCAATTTCAAAACGTTCGTTGAGTTGTTAACAACCACCCACCTTAACAAGACTTAGATGCAGGCAACTAAACAAATTGAATGCGTGTTTAGGAGTGATGGTAGAACAAGTGATTTTGAAAAAAAAGATTTAAATATAAGTGATTTTGACCATGGCAAAAATGATTTTGGCCATGCCGAAATCACTCTCGAACATAATCTTAAACTTTCATAAAAATCAATTTTTTAATTTGCCAAACATGATCAATGAAAAATAGAGTAATTTTGACAATGACAAAAGTGATTTTTATCGTGCCAAAATCAGCCCCAACCACACTATCATTATTAAAAGTACTTAAAAAAGGGGTAACCAAATGCACAATTGAAAGCATTTTTATTAAAAGTAAAGTATTTCAGAAAAAATGTACTTAAACTAAAAGGTATGCCAGCCAGACTCACCCTTGTTATAACTAAAGTTTCATTTGGTAAAGTTCAAGATTAGCGTTTACCTGTACGTGAAAATGGCATGTAGAAGCTGAAGAGAAGCAGCAAGTAGAAACGCTGTCCGAACCACGCTTACGATCCATGTTCTCTGTTCTGTATCAAACACCTCGACCCGAAGTATTGCTACTTCGATCAAGAATGAAGCACAAAGCTCTGGAAATCATGACAAATTAGTTTAATCAGTGACCAATCTGATGATACATATAATAAGAAGATCTGTTGAATAGAGAATTATATTTTACCAATATATAGCCAGGGCCTGACGGTGTAAGTTTGCTTGGTGCTACTAAACATGTAGATGATAAAGACTGAAGTGAAGTAAATGAAGAAGACTTTGATTAGTCGAGATTCGAGCAACATTGCGTTGTGCAAGGTGAAGAGTTTCTCTAAAGCAATGAACATGTTTGCTTGTTTTGACTCAAATGATTGCTGTCAACAGAGAGGGAAGAAAGTAAGCAAAATACTCACTCCCAAATATCAGTTTGGGTTAAATAAGAAGAAGCTTTACCTGGGCTTCCAAGATTGTTTTCGAGTTTTCCATTAAACGATCATGAAGTTGTTGAAGCTGTCCTTGTCGTTGAAGAAGCTCCTCCTGCTGTCTGTGGCCATATTCAGCTAAGTCTTGCAGCTTACTCCTGGAAGTCGCAAAGCAATTAGAGAAATTTTTTAGGTTTTATCTGTGTATATTTTGTTCTACAACTTTAAAAATTTTATAACAGATCTCTAAACTTTTCTGCTTTTGTCTATTTAGTTTTAAAAGAATTTCATAACAGGTCTCTAAACTTTTCTGCTTTTGTCTATTTAGTTTTAAAAAGTTTTAAAAAGTTCTAATAGGTCCTTGAACACTTTTCATTTCGTAACTTATAAGTCTCTACCGTTAACTTCATTAGTCTCACAATGACAAGATGACTGTAATATTTAAAGGTTACATCCAAAATTAACCTGCCACATCATTCTTAAATTTAACACAAGTTTTGTGCAACGCAAAGTGTCAAACAAATTCACAAGGATCTACTAGAAACAAAACTAGTTTCAACAATCTATTAGAATCTTTTTCACAGGGACTAATTAGATATAATAATAACTTAAAGGCTCATAAACTTATTAAGAACTTAGAAATTAAATAGACACAATCTTAACAAAACTTGTAATTTAACGTTTTGTTTACCTGCTTTCCTCTAGTGCTTCAGATTGAACTTTGCTTAAAGAATGAAGACCATTGAGTGCTGTGGATTGAGCATCTAGAAGTTCTTGTTGTTTGTCCAATGACAGGCCTGCCATGTTCCCAATATCATCAGCTGTGCTCTGCAGGTATTTCATCTTGGAAAACATTGCATCTCCCACTTTGGTAATCTCCTTTTCAATCTCCATGGCTTCGTCTCGTAAACCATCCATCTCTCGGCTGAGATTACTGTAGGAATCCTGAAGCATTTCCATCCCTTCCTCCAAACTTCTCCTCAGTCTTAACTGACCTTCTTGAAGTTCTGACTGGGATGTCTCTATCTTCTTGGTTTGTTCATAAACTGCTTCCGAGTGTTTTAGCACAACACCCATGTGATCTTCTAGTTTCCTTGATGTTTGAACCATTTGTTGTATTTGAACACCAGTGGAGTTCAATGAATCAAAAATTTGATATGAATTTTGCAGCAGAGATTCTGATTTTTCCTCAATGGTTTCTAACTTTCCTTCTACAGCTTCGGAAGATCTCTTCAATTCATTCACCAGCCTCTCTGTGTCATGCTTGAAAGCATGAGCCCTGAAGACACATACCAAAATCACGTGGAGATGATGATAATTTTGTAAGGAAGAAAAAGTAAACAAAGATGAAAAATAAGATACGTATTATAAATTTGATTTTAATTCCAACTTGGTTGGATCAGTCAAACTACACAAATCGTCTCTATTGGAGTATAGGCCGAGTAAAAAACATTTTATGGACATTTGATAAAATTTAGCTAAGTTATAGTACCAAATTGAAGCTTCTAAAACCTTAAACATCAAATTATAACAAAATTTAAACAACAGGGGTCAAATTATGGGATCAAACCGATAATTTAACCAATAAGATAGGATACATACTGTAGCTGATGACAAATGGAGTTGGTTTCAAGGTAGAACTCAAGGTAGATCCTATGCTCATGCTCATTCAAGTATTTGAGGCATTTGGACATGGCGGATTTCGGGTCACAAGAAGGAAAAGGAGGCCTGCCAGAGTCCTTCTGAAAGCAATCGCTAAGATGCCAAGCGAATCTCGACCGCTTCTCATCCGCTGCAAAAATCTCCGAGCAGCCCGCAAATAAATGCCTATAAGCACTCTCCCAGCAAGAATTAGAGGCAGTCAATTTGTTCTTCGCATTCTCAATTCGCCTCACCCCTTTTTGGTCATCGAAACCCTCCATCGAAAATTCCGCCACAGTTCCACCCTCAATTCGCTTAAAACTCCCCATCGCAGAGTCCGAAGACGAAGAAGACGAGAACCAGATCCACGACTCGCACTTCCCCGACGCCAATAACAGTATTACCAAAAACAGAAAACGCTCCATCGAAACCCTACCGCCTTCTACCAAAATTCAAACAACGAAACTGAACCACAATCACTTCAAATTCCTAAATCCATGGAAGTCAATTCTATTCGTCCATAGAAACAATCAACGTGTCCTAAAATTTGTTACCCAATCAGACACGAAGATAACTTAACGAACAACGAGATTGAAAGATTAAAAAATTAAAAAGAAAAAGTTGTGTAAAAACATTGCAGATGATGATTCTGTGTAAAGCGAATTAAGATTAGGAATTTGTGAGAAAGAGAACCTGAATGTCTTCGATTGCAGAGTCTGAAAGTTCTATTTCTGTGTTCTGAGGAAGACGACGGCGGCGAATTTGAAAGGCCGGTCTATTTATACGGGGGCAGCGGTGACTTGCTATAAAAGGAAACGAATAAAACGCTGCGTTTTGGAAAGAGGCGCGAACCTTTGCGCGTCGGTTTCTTACAGTAATTTGTTTCCTTCTTTAAATCTTATTTTATTTTATTATTATTTTTTCCTTTTTTGTTCTTTCGAGTTATTTCTTTTATTATAAAATGTAAAGATGTTTGGTTACTTGGATGATTGGGAATATAATAATTTGTTTTACTTGTTTTACTTTTCTCTTTCCTCTTAATTTTTTTTAATGAAAAAAATATAAACACGTCGGATAACTCTTTATTGTATCTGTTCTCTAGAATTTTAAATTAAAAAAAGTAAAATTTTAAATGGAGTTTAATTTTTTAATTAAATATTCCGAATTTTAATGTAAATATATTATTTAATATTTATTTATTTATCAGTCAATTATATTAAAATACTGCTCTCATTCGTGTTTGAGAAAAAAAATAAAAACAAAAATAAGGAATTAGAAATTTGATTTTGTTATTTTCAAAATTTTTACACACCCATTTCTAAAAGATAATAAACGAGAAATATAAACAATTACTAAATTCTTATGTTTAGAACAAACAACAAAAGATAACGTTATCAAACAACTATAAAATTATAGTAATTTTTTTTTGTTTGTTTATGTATATTATTGCCAATGGTAATATTATTCATTATATTTGACCATGACAACGTAACAAACTAATTACTAACAATTATATAATATTAGTTTATTTCGATGACCATGGAAAATATCTCTATAATGGAGATTTTGGTAATCAAATCCAATATCTCTCATTATTATCTAAAGAAAAGGTTAGGATATGTCATTATGGTAATAATTGTCTAAAACTTATAAATAATAATACTCCCTCTTAGGGGTTGGCTAGATATAAGCAATCATACCATAAGATTCACTTAATATTTCAAAATTCTTTACTTATTTGAGTACTATAACCTATATTAGTTCAAACATTAATTAGAAAGTGACTTTACAATTTGAAAGTTTAAATCTTGATCTATACATCTATAATATTATATTAGTAAAATAAAAAACTTTGTTTACGGTTAGAGTTGCGGCCACAAGATCATACAGACAAAATTTTATGTGCTAACTTTTTATTTTGGTAATTTCTAAACTAAGTAATAAAACCTTAACTTCGCAATTTTTTTTCCAAAAGTTTTTAAGTTGATGTGATATTGATAGGTCTTGAACTCGAGTTTGTGAAAGACTATTAATTTAGGTTTAAATTAATAAATATTTCCATAATTTTTCTTTATTTGGACTCTTATATCTGGTAGTTATTGATTTTATTCTCTGTACTTTCTAAAAATGACGGTTCCAATCATTTTGCTCTCTTATTTATTTTAGATTTTCAATCAAAATTCAGCGCAATAGAACATTAAATAAATTTATTAAAATATTTTATACTTTGTATTTTTTAGATTTTGTCCATTTGGATTTATATATTATTTCGATTTTTGTCATTTTGGTCTATATGTACATTTTAAAGGTGATTGATTTACATTTTGGTATTTTTTTTTCTTTTTAGGATAACACTACTTTTGATAAATTTTTTAAAATATTCTATAGATTTGTATTAAAGATGTTTCATTCGGTGTAATGTTTTGTATTAAGATTTTTCAAACAAATAAAAAACAATCCCTTTTTAAAGTGAAAAGACTAAAATAAATGTTTTTAAGATAAATGCATTAAAATAACAAAATTGATAATATAAAAGCCAAAATTGATAATCTATTTGATCATCGAAATCAAAAGCGAATGAGTAAATGCATTTACAAAAATGATTTATACCATAATTAAGCCGACTTTTTTAATATCTATATATAATTTTTATGAGAGTAAAAGAAATAGTTTTAAAATTAATAATATAGTTCAATTAAACTCAAATTTATTTTAAGTTCTGTGGAACCAATTTTTACTTACCCTTTGATGACGTGAAACACACAGGAATTATTAATTCCTAAGGTAGGTGGCTATTATGGGATTTGAACTCATCCCTCTTAATTACCTTAGTCCCTTTGGACCAAATGAGCCACCCATTATGGTTTAGAGAAAAATATAAATAGAAACACCGACATTTCCACATATCAACTGAATTAAAAAAAAATAGCAACAAATTATCATATCACTGACACTGACATAATATAAATTTAAACTTATTTAAAATAATTAATGTTTATTTATTATGATTTATTTTATAATAATTTTAAAATTATTCAACACTTTCATCGACATTCTATCAAATTGAGACAACATAAAACTTTGGTTACACAGATATAATAAAGTTTCATATGGAGTGCAATGATAAGGAGCAGAGCACATGGGCATGGGTGGTGCAAAAAGAGATCATGGAGCTCACACCACCATTAAAGTGAGAAACAAAAAGCTAAAAAACCCAAACACAAAATGATGGGAAGGTAGAAGACAAACATGCCAAAACACAAATAGTTTAGGTTTAAATATTATTTAATAAATAGATAATGTTATTTTGTATATATATATTAGTCACGGTTCTAAATATCCATCGATACGTCGATATTTCCATCGACATATCCATGTTTTCATGAGTCCGACATTGATATGAAGGGTAAATAGACATTTCCATCATAGTACAAAAAAATTGACAAAATATGAAAAATATCAACAAAATATCACTAATATATACATAATATTAATATTAATTATTTTTTAAATTATTTAGAAATATAAAAATGTTTATTTGTTAATTTAAATATTTTTTATGATTTTTTAATTTCTATAACTTTTACAAATATCCATCCACATTCATATTTATCGATATTTCCATGAAACTGATACCTCAATATTTCCAACAATATTGACATTTAAAACCTTGGTACTAGTGTGTTAATATAATACTGACATAAAATAAATAGTCCATGGATTTTCCTTCCTTTTGCTGCATTTCGCTCAAAGGGTTGAAGGGACCTCGTGCATCAAGTTGTTCGCAAGGGCAAACTTGATCTTCTTCCCCAGAGATCCCAGATGAGGGAACCCTAAGAGAGCGGCCGACTCCAACTACCGTCCACGTACGATCCATACTAGATCTGACCAACAGCCAATCCTACCTCCTCTACGTTCTTGACATAAAATAAATATTAGGTGACAAAATTGGAGCAAGGGCCATTTTTTTTTTTCAATTCAAGAAATAAAATAGATTATTTTGAAAGTTTGGAGATCAAAACATACGTTTTAGTTAATCCCTTGAAACTTTAGTATTTACGTATGTGAATATTGGAATTGTGTAATAAATAAGCTTATCTATCATACTTTGTTTCTCAATGGGCTTAATTCATTTTCTATTTTTTGGCCAAATTATGAAGTATTGTTCCGAATGAATTTATTATTCATCCATTTTAATATTCACAGATGAAAAGTATAATTTCGAAAAAGTTAAAACATTAAAAAGAAAAAAAACTTATATAAAAAATTCTAAACAACACGAGGTTTGAACTATTTGTTTAAAATTTTAAAACTAAAATAGATATTTGTTAGACTCTAAATGAGTATAATTTAAGTTAAATTACAAGTATAGTATTTAAGCTTTGCGATTCTAATAGATTTTAAATTTAAAAAGTATTTAAACTTTTAATCTTATGTCTCGATAAATTTAACAAGTGTCCAATAGTTCCATAAATTATTGATTTCGTGTTTATAGATCCTAACCTATTTCGTATTATTTAAAATGAACGAATCTATTAAATATAAAATTGAATTTCGTGTATGATAGGATCTAACTCTTAAAGTGATTACGACATCTTACTCTTCTTCTAGGGGTTCAATCTCTAAATTGTATTAAAATAATCTTTCAATTTTATGTTTATTTGATCCAAAGATTTTAAATATCAATGTCTCAATTTAAAAATTTATAAAAATGAAAAACTAATAACAAATAAGTCTGCCTCAATCCTCACTTTTTAAATATGTTAAAAATGATTAATTAATATTATGTTAGTATTTTTCTCTTTTTGTAATAATA